CCCCACCTACCCACTCCCTCGGCAGCCACATCTCACGCACAGATTATGGCACCAAGCACAAAGATATATACCAACATGGCGATAAAATAATTTAATGTCCAACTGACGAATTGTGACTATTTTTTAATTCACCCAACTTCCATCGTATACGAATAATCTTGAAGAAAACTCTGCGTCTGGATATGCTCGTGCAGCATGCGTTCCTATTGGCTGTGCGAGACGTGCGTGAAGTGTCCGAGGATACGTGTCTACGTACGAGTGTATACCTCGACGTTACGTATTCGACTAAGAGTCATGTATGCACGACGCAATAACGCCAGTTGTTGACAGTTAACCTCGTTGTGAGGCATAAATTTGTGATACTAAGCTATCATTGTGATTCCCTGAAAATCCCAAGTTCTCATGCATAACCCCGTGTACTCGCGGGAGATAGCCGTGACTTAAAGATTCTCTACGTATAATTTATACGGCAGCGTGCATATACCGCTTTGCGGATTTTATTATTCGTATGAAAAATAAAGGAGGAATATAAACGATTAAATTAGAGGTGCACTCTTAATATTCAACGCGGAATAATACCAGAGAACTAAGATGTCCAATCCAGATTTGGTTATGCAAGTGAAGAATCTACGACTACGTAGCTATATTAAACCACGAGTCTAGTGCGCGCGTCTTCCTCAGGAGTTCATGAAGACTGACGCACTGGCAGTTTCACGTGCACGTAAAATTACATTGGACGCACGAGAAAGAACATTTGTTGGCTCTTACTTGCCAAACGACTTCTGGTAGACGCAGTCGCGCGCACGATGTATAGATATATAACAACGTGCAAGGCATTCCTAGGCGTTTAAATAGCGCTAAAACGTATGGCGCGATACTGTGAAACTCTTGCAAAATTTGAATTTCCCGCGCAATCGAAACCCCACGAAATTGTCGCGAGCCATTGTCGTTTTCGCAGAAGGCACAAAGAACATTAAGTGAATGACGGTCGCTTGGGAACTTTCCATGAGGAAGAGTGCTATATCTTTTAACACAGTGAATGGGCTGCCCAAACAGAGCGGAAACGTATGCAGGAGAAACGAGGCGTTTAAAGACACGCGCCATGTAGGGGGAAAAGTTCGGGCTCTGAATGAGATTGATAATGGGCATGTAGGACGAGTCATGTTTACGATCAAGAGCGTGCGCCACTGAGCGTGCGATTCTTCACGAGCGACGGTGCTGCCATCGGTGTATACTGTCCCAGACGGATGACAGTATATTTGCATTATCCAAGGTAACCGTTAATGTGGGTTGCGTCATTTTACTGATTGCAGAAACGAGCGGGTCCTGCGTGAATTAAATATTCGCAAAATCGACCACGAGCTTGGATAAAGGGCGATGGTAAAAAAAAAAGTTAAAACGGTAAATATTAACGAAAAAAAAAAAAAAAAAAAAAAAACAAATCCAAAATTCCAAGAAAAATAATATCATTCTGACTTTTTCCTGACAAATATTTTACGTGCAAATCTTTTTTCTTCGAAAAAAAAAATTAAAAAAAAAAAAATAAACAAAAAAAAAAAAAAAAAAAAAAAAAACAAATCCAAAATTCCAAGAAAAATAATATCATTCTGACTTTTTCCTGACAAATATTTTACGTGCAAATCTTTTTTCTTCGTTTCGATTAATACTTTCGCAGAATTTCACGATGATTAAGCAGTTCCACTCTTCGTTCCAAAATACGAAATCGGAACGTCTGACCCAGGCGTTAACGAATGGCGTCTGGCTTACTAATGCAAACGAAAGATCTTTGGTAGTGGCACACTACGTCACGTCGGTCAAGACGTTCCTGGCGATCAATTATCGTCGTTATCTTTATTGACAAGAAATTACGATGCTTACTACAGTATCGTTCAATTGCGATAAGCCAGTATAAGTAGTAGACTGTTGTTTTGTGAGCGTATGATATCACCTTCGGGCTCGTATCATACTATCAAGAATAGGAGGTGAAACATTGATTTCTCATTATCAGTTGCTCCGATTGTTTTTATATTCGCCTTCCCTCTCTGCTCCTTCAAATTTATATCACACGTACAAAAATCACAGCTCACAGTGAATTCCTCCTAGCGGAAAGAACTCCAAAACCCTATGCTAAGTTTCTAGAGTACAATTATATATTTACCTCTGGATATATACCTATATTTACTCTCAGCACGTTACCCGTCGATGGAATTCCGACGCGACGGATCCCGCGGCATGCTTTAATTTCATGCAAACGATCAAATATTGACAATACGCGTTATCACGTGGTTCCTGACTGAAGCGATCTACATAGGTACATAAGTATATGTCTACACGCGGCTCTTGAGTTACGACGACATGGTCACAATAGAAACGGCCCTGTAGCGTGCGGAGTTGAGAAACTCCACGTAGCAGAATGTCTGAGAACAGCTGTTTCGTTAACCATATAAAACAGCACTTCAAATAAAAACAGTGATTTTCCTCACGTTTGACGTAATCAGTCGTTCTCTATAATCTTTAGAGATGATACACGTGTAAACGCTTACGCATGCGAGTACCTCGTTGGTGATATTCAATTAATTTTTTTCATTAATTTTATTTTAATAAATGATAACACGTCACCCACAGAGAGACTGTCTATTTGACATGAAATTTCGAATACTTTGTGACTATATATACATATATATATAGTCGGTTTCTTAGTATCTGGATGAACGCCAAGATGTCTGACTCCTCTTTTCTCGAAAAAGCTCCATGTTCAAGAAATAAAAAAGGAGGAATACACGTAGACCCAACTAGAATTCGAAATGCAACAATCTCACCCGTTTTCTATGTTGATATTTATAAGTTACGATACAGGATTTTCGTCGCACACGCTGATGTATAAAGGACGGTGGTATACCGGCAACGTAAAAACAAAAGAAAGAGAAAGAAAAAGAAAATAATCAAGCGTAGAAATGAAAAGCATGCGAGAAGTCTGGGAAAGATTATGAAAAAAAATGTCTGAAACGAATCTGAAATATGATCTGATCCCATATGCTTTTCTTGTACGATTTTCTATACTCGCGAAAAAAAAAACTTGACATGCCTGATTACATTTTTTCTAAACATTAGTTGCACTGCATACGTTCGACTCATAATATTCCAATGTTATCCAACTGTAGCCAAGATGGAATATATTTGTATAAAATGACCAGCTGTCAATGTTGCATTCTTATGAGCAGAGCACCGTACGTATGGAATTCGAACCAATTCAATTACTGTATTTTAATTATCAGATGAGTAATTCTTCTATTGCATCTTGACTCTGATTCTCGGCATCCGCTTGGTTTCTATTCAATCGCCAAACTGTCCTACATATGAAAAATTCCTTGAATTTGATTATGGACAAAGAACTACAGCGACAATTGGGAAAAATAAAATAAAAAACTTATGAGTGAATGCACGCAAGGCAGTGAATATATGAGACAAATTTAAATAAATATGTGATCGATTTATAAAGTACGAAGAAGAGTCTTTTCCGCGTGTGTGAAAAATTTTTACATATCAGTTAATGAGTCTGGAACAGATTTGAGGATCATTAAAAAATAGTATGTGATCGTATGATATTCCAGACGCATTCCAGACATTTTCTTACCATACTCTATCGCAGACCTCTCCATTAGTTTTTATTTTCACGTGTATTAACACATCGAAAAACAAACGACAAACTTGAAGCGTGCATACAAGACAGAACGTTTTTTTTTTTTTGACAGCGATACTGTCGAGCTGCCACGTAATCGTGTCACGTGTCGCATCTAGAAGATAAAAAGGGAAAAAAATCGTTCCAACGTTTATTCGTACATAATAAAACGCCCGTGTCGAAGCATTCCTTCCATCTCCTCTTGAATAATAAATTCCCCGTATTATTCCCCATTGCCAGTACAGTTTCTCAATTTCAGAGGGAATGAAAAAAATCCCCGAATTCATCGAAGACCTCGTGACTCCGCTTATCTGGCAATGTACTAAAGTTTAAGAATCGCGCAGGGAAATCCCGCACGTGACAAAGTTATGGCAAAGGGGTTATGCGCGTTTTCACGATATCTTACAGTAACCAGCCTGCTATTATGCTATTAGGACCTGGGACCACTAATGGGGTCCATACTGTGTACGACGGAATCGGCGTTGTTACATATAGATATACGGAACGTTCTTTAAATGTCCTATACGCACGTACGTGCATATATGCACGCACGTAAATACATACATATATCCACGCACGCACTGGTGCTTCAGTACGCAGCAGTTCTCTAGATATATAGTTATATAGGCATGTGCTGAAAGAGCCGTCGTTTCGTGGCATTTCATCGGCTATGACGAAACGCGACGCTGAGTGTGGCGAACCAAAACAAAACATTACCAAGGGAAACAACGTGCCTGTAAAAAGATTCCACCTATTATAGCACACGTTCGAAGTAAGTTTCACAGAGCACGCGAGTCCCGTGTATTATTCGAGCAAGGTAACCCACTGTAGATATACAACAAAGGGCAGTTTATAGGCAGGCGAATCAAGTAGCGCTAGCGAAGAAAATTTTCAACGACCCATAACGTATCCGTATACAGCAACTGAATGACTTACATTGATCGAATATCTTAAGCATCGCTTTCTTCAGCTGCATAATCTGGCAGGAAATGTCGTCTGTTCCTTGGAAAAAAGTGCATAACCACCTCGGCAATTCTCCCGTCTCTCCTGTCCTGACTGTTTGTCTGCGACGAGGGCATCGCCGTAGACACTTACTCTTGGTGTGTTTCACGAGCGCTCGGACTTCTTGAGGAATGACGCTCGCAGGACGCACCAGGTCAAGGAGAAGATGCTCGATGACATCCTTCCGGCACCAACTATCCCGTTTTCCGTTCTGCGTATGATAGCCGTGACGTATCTTCCTGGACTTTCTGCGCTTCCTACGTCTCTCGCGCACTCCCGTTATCTTATAAGAGTTCCTTGGGCAGTTGGTTTCCAGTATTATGTCGTCCTTTGACGCGTTACTGCCTTCGATGAAGGACGACGACGCACTCGATATTGTATGCGGCCACATATGACATGTCGCTATCGACACTTTATAACACCGGTCGCACCTTATACCACGTGCTAGGGAAATACACCAGGTTCACGCTATACACATAATAACAAACACGACGTCGACGGAGTGACTGTAAGGTATTTTTTGAAATTAATTTAAGATTTGTGTATTAATTCCTCTACGAGATCCAATGAGAACAATGTTATTTCAGTTTAATGTCGGGTAATTTACGACGTGAATCTCAGGGCCTTCGGTCGACGTGGTTTTACGGCTAGGAAAATATTGGTACAATCTTTTTGCGACGTTCGCTTGGCGTGTTTCACTTCACCAGGAACGCGAGAATGCTCTTTTGCAAACCACAGCAGATATTATATACCGTAGAAATGGGTATGCTATTGGCAACCGATTCAAGTTTTATTGTTTTCACGGTTGATCGTTTTTCTTTCTTTAGTTTAAATCACAAAACAGTTCTCTCGGGTTGCGCACTTTGACACTCTCTTCTAGCACGACTTAACACTCGGAACGTACCTGGCCGATTCTACAGGAAACGGGTTTACGCGATTAGACATTCAGTCATATATTCGAAATTATCTCGCGCCCCGACGTAGAGACTCTGTTAGTCATTCGACTTATTTACGAGTTCATATAGTATATTACTCGAAATATATTATAATGACGTATTTAGAAAGAAAGACTACGAATCCACGTTTAAAGCCAATTCTATAAATGCAAATCGAATTATTGTATAATGAATTTCAATTAGCGACAAACTTCTTTCAGTTTGTCCTTCTTCAACAGGAGCAGCGTATCTTGTAGGGCATAAACACGCCCCAATTCCACGTACACCGACGCAGCTTCGTGAGGCTTTGCTGCTTAAACTTCGTTTCTTCGAAACACCACTCACTGTCAACAACAAGAAATAATAGAACTTGCTCCGCGCGCAGAGAATTTCAACGTCTCTACGAAAGTGCTCTAGAATGCCTGTGTCGGGAACTGACTCGTTGCTCGGACGGCAGTCGAGACGATACTCGCTCAGGGAAGGCGCGCGCGATAACAGACGCCGTGTGTCGCGTCGACGAGCGTCCCGTGTCGCGGTTGCGTGGCCGTTTGGTACGCGAGTGTAACGGCGACTGGCGTCAAGTCAGTCACAAGAGTCCGAGGACCGAGACACCGCGGACTCGAACGCGCGAACCACGTTTGGCCGATCTACATCAACGTCCCCACGGGACGACAGAGGGAGAGAAAGAGAGAGAGAGAGAGAGAGAGAGAGAGAGAGAGAGAGAGAGAGAGAGAGAGAGAGCGACGTAGAGAAAGAGACACAGAGAGTGAGTAAGCAACAAAGAGTAAGAAAGGAAGAGATACAGATAGCTGTATGCGAGTGAGTAAGAGCAAAAGAGCAAGAAGGTAACAGCCTGACTGCCCACTGCCGCGTCTGCACTTGGAATAGTAGTAGCAGCCAGCAACGAAGATCGAGTAGCAGGAAAACAACAAGAACCAAGTTAACGAAGCAAACCAGCAACAAAAACAATAAAATCCACAAATCAATAAAAATAGTAAATTGCAGTAAAATATTTCGATATAAAAATAAAGGAATCAAAATAATCGGACAACAACAATACCAAGAGCAGCAACGATACAATTTTTCGAATTCTTTCTCTTTCCTCATTCATTTTGCTTACTCTCTCGTCATCTATCTACCTCCGTGCCTGAAACTGACTTCCTCCCGCTGACTTTTTTTTTCTTCTCATTTTCCGTTGGTCCCTCACTCTTTATCTCTCTCTCGCTCGCTGGGCCCGTGAAACACAGCACGAACACCATTTCACATTGACGGCTCTCCCCTCCACTTTCCTACAGAGTCACCGTGTCTCACTCTCTCTTTCTCCTTTTCTCTTTCTTTTCCCAAGGCACTCCGTCCCTTTCCCTCTCTTTCTCTCGCGCGCGCACGCTTGCGCGCGTATATACCGACGCCGAGGCGACCTCCAGTATATACATATATATTCACATCAAACATATATATATATATATATACATACCCGAACTACTCCGGATTCTAGAGGCTTACTGGCGAACAGACTCGAGAACCCAACTGGTCAGATAATGCCAACTGTTATCTACTTCGTGCATATACTCGTGCGCGTGCGCACGCAGACTGGTGCCTCCTTCAGCACGGACGAATGCATTCAAATGATAATTTACAAAATATTTCCTTAATCGAACCCGCAAATCGGTGCCAGACTGACACAAAAATCCCAGACGCATACGTATAGCAGCTTCCGAACGATTCACAGGAATTCACTGCTTTTACTCAAAGACCCGCGTGTCTGCTGAGTGAAAGAGAAGCGAAGAATAATAAGCGAGACAGCAAGACCTTACTTAGCTATTCCTTGATGATTTTGCGCTCAAAGCAATTCATATCGCCTGGTAGGCTTTTCTCGTCAAGATTTTTTCTTCAGCTATCGCCGAGGTACACAAATTCCACGTCGCGTCACGTCGTCGAAGTAAACACTGGAGAGCATGCTTATATATGCAATCGCATATGTTCCTATTCATACGTACATATATCAAAGTAATCTTACTAGATCTGAAAAATTAAAAGTATCCCCGTTTTAAAATATTACCCGATCTCTTTATACTGTTAAACTGTAGACGCGTATAATCGCGACAATTTCCCCCTGGAATATTCCTATGAAATCTGGACCCATCCACACGTAGTCATCTTCCACTCGCACGAAACGTTCCTTACTTCGCATTGCGTCGCACTTACAATTGTACAAAGCTTCGCAACGGAATCTCTCTTTCTCACGTGAGAAATTCTCGCACCGGCTGACGCATTTGGGTCCTGCCCTTGTGTAATCCATGGTCGTACTAAGACCCAATGAACGCAATGGTACATAGGCACGCATACGTGTAACATATTTAATATATATGCACGCATACACGACTTCGAGTAAGGATCGCGCTAGCATCAGCAGCCACTACCAACTGACGGTCTCGGGTATCAAGCAAGATCAGCAAAACTACCTGCAGAGTTGGTAGTCGTTGTCGCGATGTCGAACTAACTGTAAATTGTCTGATCCGAAGCAGTGATCGTATTGAATAAGCGCTGTCATATATCTGGATACTCGTATTATGTCGCTCTGTAGAAGCAACGAATGAGAATCAAAATAGGTTAATGGTAATAATAATAATAATAAACAAATAATAATAATCATACGAAACAGACCACGGGTGAACAACCCAGCAACGACGACCAGGAAAATGCCCTGGGGCTTTGCTTGTGGTACCACTTCCTTGTAGACGGCGCCAGTAGGGTCCAACCAGAATTTCGAAAGACGACGACGACGACCGCCAGCACCGGTAGTCCTTGTGTACTACTTGGATGATCATCTGAGCCGCATACCTACACCCTGTTAAAACGAAGCGCGGGCGTTGTCCGGTCATGCGAGTGACGTTTAGTACAGGCCCAGTGATCTTCTGGATTACCTCATGTTTCAGGAAATATTATATCAACTGCGACGCCATTGCTAATGCGTATCCTTGCATACACGATCCTGTCTGTGTATATCTATATCGTATGCTTTTACCAAACTTGCCAATAATTCGAACGAACGGTATCGGGTGTCTCGAAGCAGCCAACATTTCGCTGATCGTCAGCTGCGATTGGAATTGGCTCATTTTGATGCAGAGTTAAATATATAGGACTATAAGTTTTTCCAGTCGGAAAATTGAGTCCCAGCAAATCTAATTCGCGGACTGAAAGTCTCTGCGGAACAGTGCGAGAAAAGCTGCTAGTCGTTCGCGTTATTATGGGTACTAAGGAAAAGGACGCTAGAGGGCCATACTCATTCGGGCCCTTCCCACAAGAAGAGGATACCTCCGGCATTACTCCCGATGGCCACTTAAGACAAATTCTCGGACTATTGGAAATTCTAACCGAACGTGATTAGGAGTTCCTCGAATATATAACAATTTCTAATCTGGTTCCCGAAGTGCGAACTTTCTTCACGACTAATTTTTCTGGTGTTACTATATCCCTGCCATCATAAGACCATGCTTCGAATTCATCGTGAAACTCGAGGCTAAGTTTCAAATTTGACAGATTGTGATTGTATTAAAAAAAAAAATCATGTTTTATCGTTTAAAAATTGTAACCAAGTTTTTAACGATTTATAATACCACCTCCCTGCCTGCCGTCCCTCCTCTGCCCAACTGCCCTACGATCTCACTAATGGTCCTACATACTCCATTAATAATAATATCCTAGAAAATTCCTAGCGGTACGCAGCTATAACAATAGCACGCACACGCATTCCTCCTTACAGCATTATAACCGTGCGCATTCTCGGGAATCGTGGAGACTCGTAGAATCTCTACCTAGAAGACATAATAATATAACGACGCTTTCCATGAACGTCTCGCGACTGTGAAAACATGCGTGCTTAAGGAATACATCAATACAGGTCGATACGCAGTATCCAACGGAGGTACGAAATACAATAGACAAAAGGTGCCTTACGGGACCTTATGTACGAAGGACTGCTCCATGAGCGTCATAAGCGTAAGCTTGTAGGGCTTATTCTAACGAGTCCAAGGGGAGGTTCACACGTTCTCTGTATGCATAATCCTACGTAAGACATCCCTGTAGGAAATGGTGATCTCTATAGGTGAGCGTTGGCGTATTCCTACAATTGACGCTGAGCTCTCTCGTTGCCGACGCTGACGTTAAGGAAGGAAGTTGCTAACGAAGACGCGTGAGTAAATTGAGAGCGAAGGTTCACCATACGCGGGTACGCAGTGCGGAGTTCACAGACATTCGTTCTCACGTGTATACGAGAGCCGAGTGTGGGCTAACGTGGGAGTAGGATATACGTATGCGTTACATTAGTGGGGAATACAGATGCCACTTGTGAACTTGGCTTAAGGATGAAAGAAAAGGGTCCCTTTTACTTCAGACACGGATATACGTCCCACGTGAAAACTTACGGCTCCCTTTTTCTGACCTCGTGACGGATGCTGGGCCCGGATCGGGGGTAGTGGGCCGTTTCCGGTCACCATAAACATCGGGGCTCAAGAAACGACCTATGGCGTATGTACGTGTGTCTGGGATTTTTCCAGTCTGTCACGTGACTCAGGTACTGATAAAAATAATTTAGAGATTGTACGATACGAGTTGGATACCTGCCACGTGACTGATATGACATTTGAGATCCCTCTTTTTTTCTCTATTAGCGCTTATCGTGTTTTCTCGAAAAAAATTTGGTGCTTTCTTTTAATTATCACGATTTTGTGTGTTGTCGCTCGATACGTGTATATCGATGTTTTGGGACCTTCCGTTCTCTACCTACGTATCATTCTCCCAGATGGCCCACATGTACGGTCTAACGAAATTAGAGCGAACGGTTAGACGGTATGGAGAACCCTCCTGAAGGCGAATACCTACGTACGACATTGACAAGCATGTCAATGCCACTAGTAACACATAGTTTGCATAGAATTCGCAAGGTCGCGATACTGGTGGCTCCCGTAGAATCGATTTAGGGTACCCGTCAACACGTGACCCACTAATTTCTAGTACGTAATATTGAGAAGAAGAAAAAAAAATCGAACAAGGTCCCATTTTCTTTCATAAACGTCATTTGCATAATTGTGACCCAAAGAGATGCTGCAAGGGTCCAAATGGTCGTATCCCTTATGCCAAGCTCGCAGTGTGCTGGATATTCGAGTCCTCGGTCACGAAACGTTATGAAAATATAAATTCTCATATGTTCCCCGTGTGCTGTTTTGGCTTCGTGTGGTACACGGGTATGGTTAGGTTATATCGCGAATGAATATCCTAATAGCGATGGGAGAAAGGAGGATCGGAAAGAGGGCCGAGAAAGCGCGGAGAAGTCGACATCCAAGTCCGCAAATTGAATCGTCGCGAAATCCAATTTCCGCCAGCGGGACGTCGCGGAGTGACCCCGACACTTCGTCGAGATGCGGCCGAGGATTCAGGATTGACAAACGGGGGTCAATAAGAAGGTCGACCGCGGTCCTGTATCGAGTTAGCCGGCCGCGGAGAAATTGACCCCGGCCAATTGCCCTTCTTCTCGTTTCGACGTCCGAGCAAATGGACGCGCGACGTTCTTTCGCGTAATCACTCTTCATCCTCTCGATTCCCGCGCCTTTCGTTACCACTCAAAATAAGAAAAGCCGCAGGTAC